TATTTCAACTTTTCAGACTGCTTGGTTTCTAAGATGGCATTTTGCACCTGTGATTCAGTAATACAGGGGCAAAAGACCGTAACATTTGTGCTGAAGTTTTGAATGCAAAATCGACTGGTAGGTTAGTACTTGGACCTACCAAGAACCTTACTTTCACCTACTCTAAATACTGAGGAGAAGCATTGCTTCTTACCAGTACAGGAGGATCCTTATGCTAAGCTGGGCAGTCTGATCATGGGTTATTTTTTGTAACAGTAATGATACCTCACCTTTCTGTGTTGGAAATCTTCTTAATCTTGAGCAAAGAATGGAAATACATTAAGCAGAATTATTACATGACATTATTTATTACATTAAATTGTTTTTATGTGCAGTTCCACTTATTTTAAGAAGTCATAACATCTGCCTCAATTCTGACCATGTACGCATGACAATAAAATGTATTTGACTGCATTTGTGATCATGTAACAGTAAGATTTTATCTAGCTTTTCCATACATGTAGAATTCTGCAGCAGTGCTTATGACTCTAAAGCAATAATGTACAAGAACACTGTACTGTGTAAATAGCTTACACAGTTTGCTATATAAAGCAGGTAAAACTTGATGATATTTGGAAATGATGATGGAAGAAATTATTCCATTACACTTGAGAGACATAGAGAGCTTTTTCCATTGAGCTGCTACTCTTGTACAGTATACAAAATACAATAAACCATATGCACTTAGACAGCAGACCCCTGTCAGATGCACAGTTGCTTCTCACTGCATAAGTTTTGACAAACAAGCTGTTTCCCAATAGTTTCTCCAGTAGCTAAGCCCATTTCTTACCCTTTTCATGCTGCAGCATGAAAAATCATGTTTGGAGAGGGACTGGAAAACTTCAGTCTAGAGGGAAAGCTTTTATAGCTGTATACAGTATTGGAATGGAAATACTTCAGTAACCTTTCTGAAAGTCATCGCTTCTACTGGTCTATAATTAGCCACACAGGAAAAACAAAATCCTCTTTCAAGTATAGTAGAAACTGAACAGATCAAATAACAAACACCTAAGTTATTTAACAGCTTTCCCCCAAATATGCTGGTCACTGTAGTAGTTGGTTATGTAGTTCCAAGTGGATAAGTACATGTCAACTTTAGTAATAAACATTGAACTTTTTGATTAAAACTTCTGTTCTTTGAGATGTCACTTATATAATTGGGCTTGTTTTCTATCCAGATAGTATCTGCAGTGCAGTATTGCCACCAAAAGCATATTGTTCACAGAGATCTCAAGGTGAGTAGGAAAAAGAGTGTGAAGTGTGTGTGTCAGCTTCTGTACCTGTGGGTGTGATCTATTGTGCCAATAAAATGTAGTGTATAGTAAGCTTTCTGATCTTTTTTTTTGCATGTGTTATAGCAAGTTTTGAGGAATGTTTACAGTATAGAACCATTTCAAATAAAAGGAAGAGGATTGGTAAGGCTTTTAAATATAGAAATTTAATAGCTGGTGAAAGACAGCCTGTCACCCTGTGGTCAGATTCAAATCTGATGCAGGTCAGTCTTAGTGAGAGGTCTTTTAAAAAAAAAAAGGTAGTTTGATAGAGATACGACATTTTGATATGATATTTTGGTCTTGAACAGAATGAATTACCAGTTGGGATGCTGAAACTGAAGTATGGCTTCTTTGTAGCTTGGCGTGAAATGGTATATCCCTTCTTTAAACTGTGCCTTTTATTTTAGTAATGTTGCTACATAACTCGTTCAACATATCATAACTTAAAAAAAGCACGAAAAAACCCCAAAACCAAAGAACAAAAAACACCACCAAAAAAAAAAAAACAAACACCACCAACAAAAAAAAAACCACTTGAAAAAAGTTTAAAGGCTATGTGTATTACCAAACTTTTGCAAGAATGCCACATAAAGTATGGATAGTGGGACTATATCTTGTTTTCATCTTAATAGATCAAAAACATGTTAAAATAGCTCAAGATATATTTCTGTGGGTAAAACAGATAGATGGTAATAACACAGGTTTCAGGTAGCATGTCAGCTCCTGTAGTCTGAAGCCATTGTACAGAGATTTTTAAAATAGGGGGTATGTGAATGATAGACTAAAGCGTACCTAAAGATCTTGCAAGGAAGGGAATGTTAACAGACATCTCAGCTTTCTGCGTTTTAAGAATGAGTAAAACAGACAATAGCATTTTAAATCAAGTATTTTAGGCTCATCTTACAAACCGTTCTTTCTCTTCCAGGCTGAAAATCTATTGCTAGATGCAGATATGAACATTAAAATAGCTGACTTTGGTTTTAGCAATGAGTTTACAGTTGGAAATAAACTGGACACCTTTTGTGGCAGCCCACCATATGCTGCTCCAGAGCTCTTCCAAGGGAAGAAATATGATGGACCTGAAGTAGATGTTTGGAGTTTAGGTGTTATTCTTTATACCCTTGTGAGTGGATCTCTTCCTTTTGATGGACAGAACTTAAAGGTGCGTTTTTGTAGAACATGTTGGGCATGTTTACATAATGTTTTAAGTGATTTGCTGCTTACGACATACTGTCTGTTCTTCTTCTGTTACCAAGGAACTGAGAGAAAGAGTGCTAAGGGGAAAATACAGGATTCCTTTCTACATGTCCACAGACTGTGAAAACCTCCTCAAACGTTTCCTGGTGCTAAACCCGACAAAAAGAGGCACTCTAGAGGTAATGGCACAAATAAGGTGCATCAGAAAGCTAGACATTATGTTTTGCAAACTATGTTTTTGAGCTGTAACTTATTATTGTCATACCGTTCCTGAATAGTTTATTTGGAGCGGGTTGTGGGGCAGGGAGGGGGTTATTGTGTAAAGCATATGGCTTTTTTTTAAGATTGTTTGCTGGCGTTACAAGATGCCCGACTCCACAGTTACTTTCAAATTGAATGTGAGGCTATACTGCATATGTCGTATAACTTTTCCTGATGGTTATATTGTGGATTCCTGCATTAAAGGATGATCCACCAGGGCATTTTCCACATTTTCAAATGTGAACTGGAAATACTGACTGCTAGATTATGGTGTGGTTGCCTTTTGCCTGCATTTTGTACCATTATGGAGGAGAAAGGCCAAAACAATACTGGCTTCCATGGACTTCCATAGTCAAGCCTGGACCTGCTAGACTTGTCAGAGTTTTCACACTGCTGCTGGTCTGTTATGGGCTTTTAGCTTTCAGCTGTGTGCTAGAATTCAGCTGATAGGGAAGCAGCTTGACTTGATGTGCATTGTTGATTCTGCTCACTGGAGCAAAACAAAACTGAGGCCTGTCTGGAAAAGTAAAATTGGAAAAGGCCTTAGTGTTTGGTAGATAGGGGAGTTGTTCTTTCAACAGCTCATTTTCTTTGCTGGTAAGTGTAATGTACTAACAAAACCCTTTCTTTTATAGCAAATTATGAAGGACAGGTGGATCAATGCAGGGCATGAGGAGGATGAACTTAAACCTTTTGTTGAACCAGAACTAGACATCTCGGACCAGAAAAGAATAGGTAATCGAGTATTTTTCAGAATATGATACTGTTTGCATGATGTGGGTTGGTTTCTTTTTCCCCTCCACCACTCTGTATTTGTTAGCTATTTGGAAAAAGTAACTAGTCTTCTAATAGTGATATTTCATTAGGCTTATGTTCTCACACTTAATAGTTTTAATTCTTTAAATGTTACATTCTTTCTCTTGAACTTAAACACTCAGCCACCCTAAACATCAGAGTGTTTCTGTTACTTACAGAGTGTGTGTTTGTTTTTAGATATTATGGTAGGAATGGGATATTCTCAAGAAGAAATTCAAGAATCCCTTAGTAAAATGAAGTATGATGAAATCACAGCTACATACTTACTGCTAGGAAGGAAATCGTCAGAGGTGAGTACCAATCTTACAAATGCAAAGAAACAAAGGAATAGGAAAGTATCCTTAGCAAAGTTACAAGCAAAAAATAAGTCAGTAACTATAGGCATTGCATTCCTGACTTAAAATCACATTATTCTAATCATCAGTGTCAACTGTCCAAATGATGCTGTGTGTGATTTCCTTTAGGCTCCCCAAAACTACCCTGCTTGCTCAGCAGTTACTCCTCTGAAGGACTTTGTATGCCAGTTACTGTCCTGTCTAGTCTAGGAGCTCAAGTGTGAATGTGCCAGCTGTAAATATTTTAAAAGAACCAAGGAGACAGACCGATCAACCTAAAAAAGTTCTTGCATTGTAGATTACCTTTCCATACAATGCTGAGAGGGCTCGGCATCAGTAAGCTGCTCCTGGTTCCTCTGCTGGAGGAGTTGGTGTGGTAGCTTCTACAAAATGTATCCTCTCTTCATGTTAAAATCTTAGAGAACTCTGAGGAGAGAGTACTGAAAGTAGAGATGGATTTTCTTTATCTGATTGTCCTTTGAGGAGCTGCAGATTCCACCAGGTTTCACCTAAGATAGTTGCACAAGAATCTAAGAGAAGTTGGGGCCTCTGAGCAACTTCCTTGCTGTCAGAAAATTTCCTGTGTTCCAGAGCCATCTTCCTTCTGCCTCCCTGTTACGGTTCCCATAATATGGTGGATGTTTAGTTTGTTTTGCCTGAACTCCTTGTTTTAATACTCTCATTTGTATTGTAGTTGGATGCAAGTGATTCAAGCTCCAGCAGCAATCTTTCACTTGCCAAAGTTAGGCCAAGTAGTGATCTTAATAATAGCACTGGACAATCTCCTCATCACAAAGTTCAGAGAAGCATATCTTCTAGCCAGAAGCAGCGGCGGTACAGTGATCACGGTGAGCAATTCTCATTTTCAGTATTGCAGAATATAGTCACTTCTGTTCAGTTTCTGAATTTGTCTACATCCACCAAAGGTAAGGAGGATGACAGCAGTGTAGCTCACAGCATGGTGGTTAAATAATTTATTGAATAACTTTTTTTTTAATTGTTTTTGAAGGCTTTATAACAAAACCAGTTTCTAGAGGAATGCTGAATACACCAACTTAATTCTCTTATTCTGCCTTGTGTTGTCCCTTGCATTCCTGACCGTGCTGGGAAAGTCTTGTTACACAAATTGAAGAGAATGTTGCAACCCCCTTTTTCATGAAAAGTACAGCACTCCTCCCCCATGCTCTTGTATGTCTGTTCAGCTTTTGTTTTCTGTTGACACTAGTAGGTCAGCTTGTGTCTAAAACTTGAAGAAATGTCAGTTTGCCAATATTTCTTGTTTCCTTTTTCCTGAGGGTAGTGTCACTTGATTGTCCTGCAGGAATTAAATTTCTAAAGGTTAGTGACTCAGACAAACTTACAACTCTTCTGCTTAATGAGTGTGCAGGATAGTAGCTTAGGGTTTTCTAAATATCTTAAAACATCTTCCTGCCCAGACACTACCTCATAAAAGGAGTTTGTTTAGGTTTACTTTTAAATACCTCAAGTGCATTCAGAGGTTGCTTTCCTTGGGGAGTCTCCTAGGCTGATGGTTATTGTGTTTTGTGATGCTTTTTAATATTTATTTTTACATATATATGCATTTTATAGTTGTATGTGTATACATACACTTTTTGAGTTGTTATTAAAACACTGACTACGAAGTTGAGGTATCTTGATGTATCCTCTTCTGAGGAGGTGTAATTGAGTCAGCAGAAAACATAATCCTGATGTCCCCACAGGCTTTTCCCAGTGTTCAGGAACCTATTAAAGCAAGAGAGCGCTTGAGGCTGTTGAGGGAGCTGCCTTATTCTCAGGTGTTCCTGGCACACCCGGGGAGGCTGGCGGCAAACCACTGCTGCTTCTGGGCTGTTCCAGGAGAGCAATCCGCCAGCCGTTAGTGTGCTGGTGGTCCGGGCTTGTGTCACCATGTACCTGTCTCAGGAGCCCAATTTTACAGAAATTGGCTTGAACAGTGTGTGCCAGCTTTGTGCTAATGAAGGATCCTCTGATTCGAATGAGAGTCAGTTAGTTTCTAAAGGTTTTTTTCCTACTGAACCCAAGCAATATCAGTACTCAAACACCAGAAGGCTCCATTAAATTTGTAATTCTTTTGTGGAAATTGAGTAATATCTTTGCCTAATGAATTCAAATAATTGTCTGTTTTTACGGCCCTCCTGTCCTTAGCAAGGTAAACAGAAGAGTCGCATATCTTTGAATTATGATATAATGGGAAGCCTTACTGGAGTTGACTTGAACATCAAATCTGTCAGATTTTATTACAAAACGGGGAGCCTTGCTTCAGGGTATTGTGTCCATGTGTCATCATCGCTTCCCTCCTGTCCCCTCCATCCTTAAAGAGGGGAGGAAAAAAAAAAAAAGAAATGTTTGGAAAGTGTTTTATCTTTCACAGAATTTTACTGTCTTCTGAAACATGCATATTTCAATAATTTAAATCATTACCTTTCTGCAACTCTGATTTCCAGTGTTAATTATTTTGATTCTCATGTGTGAATACATTTCCGTTGTAGGGAAGAATAGCTACTGGACTTCTGAGAAGAAAAATCCTTTTTCTGTTTCTTTTGTTTGTTTTTTAAGCTGGACCCTCCATCCCCTCAGTAGTGGCATATCCCAAAAGAAGCCAGACTAGTACTACAGACAGTGACCTCAAAGAGGAAGGAATTCAGTCAAGAAAATCCAGCAGTAGTGCTGTTGCAGGAAGAGGAATTGCTCCGGCTAGTCCAATGCTTGGAAATGCCAGCAATCCCAATAAGGCCGATATTCCTGAACGTAAGAAAAGTTCGGCTGCTCCTAGTGTAAGTAGAAATGCTTACTTATCAAACCATAAAATGTTATTGAGGGGTGAAAAAGTGTTAAATCTGTGATTTATCAGTGGTGTTGGTTTTACTTCTCATTCATCAAGAGTAAATGTAGGTATCTCACTATTGCCTTTTTTTTTCCCCTGCATCAGTCAGCTACTCAAGTTACCTGTGAATATTCCTGAAGTAGTTCATAGGTATTAGTAATTAGCACTAGCAGCTGTTAGTGAACAGATATATTTTGGGTATAAAAAGATCATTAAAAAAAAAAAGAAACTGAACTCAAAGGCTGTCTCCTTAAATTTTGTATGAGTTATTTCTGATATCACCAACTACTCCTTTGTGGCCTCTTGTGCAGAATAATGAAATCTCTATTTGTATTATCGTATTTTACAGTTTCATATGTTTAAGGAACTGTCTAATCTTTGTTCTCAAACAGGCTATTCCAAGCCATAGTTATGTATATTAAGATTATCAAACAAATGTAGCTCTAAAAACTGTTCAAAGGTGTATTTAAACCTGTGTTTAAAAGCAGTGTGTGTGGCTTTTGTCCTTGTGTGCTTCCTCCACCCACCCCTAAACTCCAACAACAACAAAAAACCACTCTAAGGTGTATAATTAGTCAATTTACAGGGTCGAGCTGTAGGCAGTGAGCTGAAAGAGAGAAAATCCTTTGTTTGGTTTGGTTTTAACTTGTATCCTCAATGGTGCCTCCCTCTAAGGCAAAGGTGCAAATCTGTTTTCATATAATAACTCTTGAGTCTTGTAACATTTAATTTCTAAAATTTTGGAATTTTGTATTGAAAAACTTCCTTCTTTTCAGAAGAAATAACTTCCCAGGCTTTTATTCAACTTGCAATGGAGTGATTTTTTTATTTTTTTTTTTTTTTAAACTTATCCCACAAAGCTGTCATACTTGGTCATATGCTCAGCACCATTACTTACAACAAATGAGAACAGAACTTCCTGAGCTCACAGCTTTTTGACAATCTGAAGCAAAAGAAGAAGTAAAATAAGATTTGTTTTACTTTATTGGCTCTGTGTTGTCAGTTGGCTCAGTGGCTGATAGTGACTTGGCTGGAGGATTTCAGTCAAAGAGATTCCTTGGAAAGACACGTCTTCTGTGGCAGCAGCTGTTATTCATAAATGTGAACAAGAGCTTATGATTTTGGGGGACCCTTTTTTTGATTTTTTTTTTTTTTTTTTGGTCCCCTGCCGTTTCCCTTCTTGGTTTTTGATCAGTCCAGAAACTGTTCAGATTTTTCTTCTTATGTTGACAGTTCTTAGCTACTGAGTCTCAAAATGGTAGGATAATCAAATCAGTTTTGTCCTACATTGGACTTCACTCAGTATTGTGTAGTGCCTTATTCAAGAGCTTTGCATCACAGTTACAACATATTGTACGTTCAGTATCTTTAGTATTTTGATCTGCTGTGCTACATCACTCCCAAATCCTGTAGTCTACCCGCTACCTCCCAGTAGTCTTATTTTAAATTTTGTAGTACTTTAGCTGAAACAAAATTTCAGCTTGTAACCATAGGACACTTCTCTCTTCTGATTCAGTGTGCAACTGATCCAACTGGTCTTTTACAAGCAGTGGTACAAGGTGGTGAACATGGAATCAGATTTACAATGTAATTTAATTAGTGTTTAAAATGGTTTCTGTTTATAGCTCTTCATGTTAGACTGTGCAAATGCTCTTTTTTCCTTTTCTACACCCCCACCACCACCCCCACCCCCAGAGATTAGTCTTTCGCTTTCTGTGTGTTGGGAGAGGAGTGGAGCACTGACTTTTTACACAATTCATGGAACTCTTTAGGAGTTTTTATTTCTTACAGTGTTGGCATGCATCTAGAAGGGGAAAAAAGGATCTTGGAGTTACCATATTGACCTGAAGTTGAAAAAAGTTTGAGGTGGAGAGAGTTTGTGTTCTCACTGAGCACTTTTTAGTCCTAAAATCAGTAATATGATAAAATCACTGAAGAGACAGAAAAATACTGTTTAAAAACACTTACTACTTTGACAGATACAGCCAAAGTAGTAGAACTGGTCCTCACTGGAGACCCTTAGCCAGTTGCGTGCTGCTGTTATTAAATAACAAAGCTAACAAGCATGCACTTAAGGATAAGAGTTGTGCTTGTAGAGCAGATAGCAAAGTCTGGGGTTGGAGTAAGGGGCTCCAGGCTGTACTCCTGAAGTTGACAGAGCGTTTAAACTCTTGCAAACTAAATAGTTCTGCAAGCTGAACAAGTGCACGTGAAAAAATGTTCAGGTTCATTGGGCAAATACCAAATTAATAACAAAACCTGCTACAGGGGTTGCATAGTTAGCAGCAACTAATACTCCTTGTTTTAATAACTCCTTGTTTATTACTCATGGCTTTGGGTTTTTCCTCGATGCTTGTAACAAGGCTGTCCCAGAGCCCTTAATATAGTTTTAAGAAAACTGGAAGAGGTGAATAGATGTTACGTTTGGAAAATCATTTAGGACCAAAAAACATACTAGTGCTATTAAGTAAATAGATTGGTTGATTATTGTAAGTCAGAAGCTGATTCTTTGAAAGTTTTTCATCAGTCCTCGCCTTGGTGTCTCTTAATGTGAAAATACCCTGCCTAAGGTTGGGCACAAGACTCTCCAGGAAAAGAAAAGGACTCTGTACCACAAATTCACCCTTTGTGCTGTGATTGGACCTTGTGCATATGCTCAGAAGTCTCAACATGTGCTTTTGCAGCATCAACACCTCCTGCAAAGAAGGCAGATGACGCCACGAGGATGAATTTATGCAGCTAATCCTAACCCTAGGGGTTGTCATTTCGTCAGGGAGTGTGGTGCTGTTGACATCAGTTTCAGGCTTCCTGTGCCATGCACCTGTGCAACTTAGTCATGTCCAGAGATTAATAGTCTGTAGAGTGGCTGAACACAAAAGTCATAGCGTCCTAGATGAATCATGAAAGGAGGTCATACACTGAAAAGTGTAAAGGCCCCAATACCAAGACTGTATTCTTGCTAAAACTGAAATTTGAAAGCTTGAAATGCTTAAATCTCTCACAACCTCTGAAATCTGAGCTAAACAAAAAAAAAAAGTACTGATCCTTTTGTCTTTGTATTCCAGAAGAAGATCTAGGAAAGTACATGTTCAGAGTCCACTGATTTCAGATATGGATACCAAAACTTGTCCACTCCCAAACCTGAAAATGCATAATCTTTAAAGTTTGATCCAGCACAGAGATTGCTGTCTTAACTTTGTAGATGTGCAACTTCACAGTACATTTTAATGTTACGTGGTGCCTTCTTGAGGGAAACACATGTTCTAAGGGAACAGGTGGAAGGAAGCCACCTGTTACTGTGCATATTTCCCACCAGAAAAACAGTCAGATATTATAGGTGCTTCGCTTTCTAATATGTTCAGTAGTGCAGAACAAAATGATATACAAGTACTAATATTTAATAGTTCAATGTACCATTGGTTTGTAAGGGCTCCACAAAGTGTCTTGCACAGTGTGGCCTCATGAACATAGAAACAAAACTTCACTCTGGGTGCACAGCTTTCACTGCTAGCGAGTTTAGTTAAAGGGAGGGGAGTTTGCACCATGGCAAATGTCAGAGGAAAGTAGAAGAATCAATGGTTTTTTAAAAATAAACAGACTTGAAGAAAAGGGATGTGTAAGGAATAAAGTACAAGGAAGGGGCCAGGGAGACTTCTGCTGATGCTTGACACATGCCTGTCCCTAAGGAATATCCAGTGAAGAATACTTGGGAACCCTTGAGACAACTACATACTTCTTGTGATTGAATTAATAGTTCTGCTAATCTAAAACACTCTTTATACTCTTCGTACTTTTCAACACCAGGAGGTTGTGCAGTCCGCTTTTTCATTTTTATTTGTACATTCACATAAAGACGTATAGCAGGTCAGCAGACTTTTAAACAGACAAGATGGCTTCGTTGTTAAATCTGTAGCTCAGGGATTGTGTTGCTTGAAACTCCCTGTATAGCAAATATTTTGCCTTAAGGCACCGGAAGAGCTTTTGCTGGTTATTGAGAATACTCCACTTTAACAGTTTTATTTCAGGTTCGGAAACAAAAAAGGTTTGGCTACTCTCCTTTTGTGCTTGAACTGGTTTTTCCTTTTTTTTTAATCATCCTTCCCATGATTCTCTACTGTGACGATTTATGTGAAACCTTTTCTGAATGCTATTTTAAAAGTCTGCTGAATTTCCGTTGTCTATCATAGCAGTAATTCTTCAAAGAACTCCAAAAGGTTAGTTGAGCATGAAGTCCCCTGCCTGATTCTTAGTGGCTATCCTTTCTCAACATGTGCTTATCCAGGTGCTGACCAGTCATTCCCTTAAGCTAGCCTCCTCCAAGACTCTCCTCAGCAGTGATGTTTAAAGTTAATAGCCTATTTTGCTCCCTGCTTTGCCCCGTGATCCTTTTCTTTAAAGAAAATTTTTAAAGGTTCTTTCCACTTTACAGCCATATGCAGTTTCCTGTGGTATGTTCTTGGGGTGGGAAGAAAAAATACAAGGCTTACTGGCTCTTCCTCTGAAACCTGGGGGTGCATGTTTATCTGGACCACCATGCTTTTCCTACAGTAATTGCATCTAACTTGTTGTAATTCTGTTATCTGTGAATTACCTAGCTTCTCAGTCGTTCCTGGAAAATTGACCGCCAACTTGGGCATATCTCCACCCTCTTTCTCTGTAAAGACAGAGGCAAAGTAATTCTATTTCTTTTCTCCCCTCTAAAGTAAGGTCTGTAGTTTAAGTTCCCCTGGTTCTCTTGTCCTCAATGTATGATGCTTGTATTTAAATGTATATTTTTTTAAAATGTCTTATTAAAATTCTCTGCAATTTGTCTCTTTAATTTGACTTATTCTTCCCTGTTTTTAAAACTTGTCTAGTGTTTTATAGTATTTTAATATTTAAAAGTCCATGTTTACCTTCCCACTGAATTTTACCACATTTTTTTCTTAAGTCTTTGCTTTTCCTATCTTGTTTAAGGGTATGATTCTACAAGCTACAGGTGGTAAAGTATTTCAGAAGTAGGCTATTCAGATGTAGATGAATGCTATACATGCTGAGAATTTGTAGTTCAGAACATTGGTAATTAAGAACTTCTAAGCAATATTAATTTTGAGCCATCAACATGAAATACAAGAACAACAACTTAGAATTATTTTTTCTGATTGCATTATTCCTTAAAAATACTGGAAGGTGTTTGTATATTAACTTATTATTTAATTATTGTAAGTTTTATAACTGTGTAGAGCTAGCATGAAGTAAAACAGCCTTCAATTTTATGTAGACTTAACCCCAGAAAAGACTTTTGTGGGGAATAACAAGCCTATGTTTTTTAATTGTAGAATAATACTGCCCCCGGAGCAATGACACGGCGCAACACATATGTTTGTAGTGAAAGAACCACTGCTGATAGGCATTCAGTGATACAAAATGGCAAGGAGAACAGGTATATGAAATGTCTTCCTATGGTGTATGTCCCTTGTCTTCACATTTCCAAAAAACTGTAATGCCTAATTTAAAAATCAGTAATATTCTAGTGTAATTCTTAATGAAAGGTGAGTACAGATCTTTGGTTATGGAGCACCTGTAAGTATGTTGGTTTGGTTTTTTTTTCCTATGCTTAATTCATACAGTCTTTATACTTAAAATGTAAAAGGAAGATCCTAATTTCTGGTTTAATACATGTCATATTTGTACAGCCTTCATCTTAAATCAGTTGTTACTTCCTGTGACCAAACAACATCTGCTTGCAGAACAGGCTTTAGTGTCAAACTACAAAGTCCACCTCTCTTGGTCCATTCTTTTTTTACATTTCACTCTGAACTGTACTTTGTTTGGATTATTTGGAATACTGTTTTTTCCACAAAGTCTCATGGAGAAAGTCAGTTTTTTCTGAGCAAAGATGAAACAGTGATAGGCCATTGTCTTGGACTAAGAACATTCCTTACTGATATCCTTGTAGTCTGATTGCTTCCCAGTATTTTCAGAACTCATCTTGAGAAGTGAAGCACTGATATCTTCATATTCTGAGTGAAAACAGCCAGAGAAATAACAGGTTTCCTCTTACTTTACTGAATGAAAGCCTGACTGGAGCATGTAATGGAATTGGAGTTAACCGGTTCGTGTGTTAGTACCATAGCTACATCTAGTCCCATCCTGCCCTGTGTACCAAAGACTAAGGAGAGCTGTAGAAAAATGTAATTGTGAATGTAGACATTAGGTATAGAGTAACACTTCTGAAGAATACCACCAAATTTCCTGGCTGGCTGAGGTGTTCTAAGTTCCAACCAACTATTCTTCACAGAATTTTACTGGTATCAAAAGCTGGTAACAGTTAAGTAGTTGACTGTTGCCAGGAGAGTGCCCAGATAGCTAGTACTTAATAAAAATGCTTAAGCTTGGAGGAATGGGTACCCCTCTCCTACTCTTCCCAACTTTCTCCACCTCTTCCTAATTTTATGATACATTGTAAAGGGTGGGAAGAAGGTACTTTTCTTCTGGTTCATGTTGAAGTTGGTGGAAGATGTGCCATTTTTTGCACAGAATTTTTCCCCTTTCGGCAGTTTACAAGGAAGAGTGGTGAAGTTGTTATGTTGAATGGAAAATCTGTCTGTCCCTTGTTTGACCCCTGGAGCCTAGAGATAAAGAACATGATTTTGACCCTGTCTCTTCTAGCTTTCTGCAAACTGAAAGGGATTAAGGAAAAAGTCAAGTATAAATTTGAACAGTGCCAAAAGTCTAGCTGGCCAGCTGGGCCTGTAGTCAACTGTCTTGTGAAGTACAGCACAGCTACTTGGTACTGTCTCTTAGTGTGTCTGTCTCAGCCTTCATTGGTTAGTCCTTGTTAATGTGACCAAGTTTGTTTAGATTAAAGCTCACCATCCTTTCTTTGATATGTAAATAGCTTTTTTCTTTCCAAACTCTCTTTGAAAAATGAATCTTTCTGTCCAAAATAGTTTTGATGAGATTTGATAACCTGATTTCTTGGTTTAATAACACTTTTGTTCATCTTTAGTATCTTTGCAATATCTTGCCTACAATTTCTTTATTACATTTTTAAAAGTTATTAGATATTGTTTACTAGGAATGCTTGATTTAGGAGTAACCCCTTGATTTAGGAGTAACCCCTTGATTTAGGAGTAACTTCATACTTCTTAAGGAGCTGTCTTTTGAAGTTGTTACTTATCTTCTTAACAGCTTTGAGTTTCTCAGCAAACTGCTGTCTTTCTGGTTTGTCACATACAGGCATTAAGCTCAAAGTTAACATTGAGTACTACTTGGCAACTGTATTAATTCTATTTTATATCCATAATTGGTTATTCTTGTGTAATTTACCTTTTATTGTCAATATGGTATCCAAACATCGTTTGCTTATCCTTCAAACTTTAGCCCTATTGGGGTCATTTGAAATGTCTGAGCATTTAGATTTTCATTGTCAGGAAAAAAAAATCTTTATAGCTTTTGTTGCTTATTTTTGATTACTATTTTCATTACTTTTTATAGAGGGTTAAAACAAGAAAAGATAATGGGAATGCTTTGCTAATTGTTTTACAATTTGAGACTTGTCATTGAAATGCCTCAACACTAAACTGCACATTAATTTTGGCACAGTTTCAGAATTACTGTGATTTGGCACAGAGTTCAGAACTTCTGTCTGAATATATTTTGTTGCTGTAACTGGGCAAAGGCTTGACTGATCATGTGAAATGCAGGGACCTTTAATGCAGGTTAAATAAACATGGCTATGGACAGGACTGGCTCTTCAGAATGAATTCTGCTTGCCTTCAGGTGTTTCTCTATTATCTCTAATATTATTGTACTCTTAACTTGGCCGAAAGTAACTTTAGAAACTTGTAATGGTTTTTCTTCTGTGAAGCAAGATCTGTAGTAGAACCTGGGCTTTGTATAAATCCAAGGTTTTGTTAAAAATGCTTTCTGTGCTTTTGAAATGTCTGTTGGTGGCAGATGTTAAAAGCAGGAGTAATTACTATAAATAATTTGTTACAGATTGGATTTTAGATTTTCTATAGTAAGTCAGATACTGACTGTGACCCAGTGAAAACTTGGGAGACTTGCCTTAAAAGGCAACATGTGCACATGTAAAGTCTCTATTCTTTCTGTAGAGAAAGTGTTAAAATGTTGCCTGTTCTGTTTTTATCTTGCACATTGAATTCTGAGAAGGTGCTATTTCTGAAGGTATGGAAAGTTTGAAGAATCAATAGTCAGCTACTGGACTTGATGTTGGAGGAAGTAGTCTTGAAGACTCCATGCCAGACTGGTAGAAGTAAAGGGGTTTTAAGTCTCACATCCCTACTTTAACACATTGTGTAGCTGACACAGGCATTCTGCTGGAGATGACTCTGGCTTTCCTCCAAAGCCTGAGCATTAATTAATGCACTTGGACTCAGGAAACACTCTTCATAATGATAGGCAATTGCTTTAAATCATTTGTAACACAAATGATATACAACAGCCTCAGATTTTTAATAAGCCTTGGCACTAATTGGTGAATGTTAGCTTGCTGTTTCTGTGTTCCCAGGCTAGTAATCCAAGGAAGCTGATTTCTACCAAAGCTTCAGAGGAAAAAATATAAATGCTTTAATATGTGCTCTGGTACCTTATTGACACCTTTAGCTATTGCATCTTTGGAGGCAGGTGACTAAGTAAAACTTGGGTCTAACATGTTGTAAAACTAGATTCTTTCTCCTTTATCTTGTTCAACAAATTGAGAGGAAAGGAGCTAGAAGTGCTTGAGAGGCTAGTGACCAATTGTTTGGCGATTACTTGACTTGGGGGTATTGCTTTTGAGATAAATGTTCCTTTCCTTACAACTTCTTAATACCCTGGGGTAATGTAAAAGCTGGGCTGTGTTGCAGGCTTCGTTGTAGTAGCAGTCGTAGTGTCCTGCTGGATTCAGCATTGTAGAGATGCATGCATGACTCAGATGAAGCTTTCTAGATCTTGAAAAGTTAAAAACAAAACAAAGTAGATTTAGCTAACCATTTTAGCCAGCAGTTCTGATGTCTGAGCTGTGAGGTATTTTCTACTAGTGCTTTGAGAGCCCAAGAAGTGGGTCAGGTGATACTTGTAGCTGGACTAGCATTCTTCTCTCCAAAGTCTGACATACCAGAATGAGATAACAGGACTTGAATTTCAGTATTTGTAGCCATGAACTAACTTGGAAGTGAACATGCAGTGTCATGAAGCTGTCAGTGATAATTCATGATTTCTTAACCTCGAACAATATTTTTGAATTGCAATTGCCTTACTTTTAAAGCAAACTTAAGATGAATTATTTAAGGCGTTGTAGCCTGAAAGGCCCAATACATCTTGTGGCCTCAGTTTTCTCTCATCCTTTTATTATTACTAGATAATGTGAAGGCTGCAAAGAGTATTTTGGCTCAAAGAAAGAAAAAGATTTCATGTTCCTATTTTAACATGCAGCTGGCCATTCTGCTAAGACAGCACTGTAGACCTTCCTTCAAAGCCTGAATGGTAATTTGGAGAATTTAAGGTTCATGGCCAAGCAATATGAGATGCTCTTCAAAAGTCATACCTTATTCTTCAGAGAACACCAAGCGTTATTCATTGCCTCCTACATGTACAGGTTGATTAATAGTAGCCTTTTTGTTTGGGCCTTTCTGGATTTGTTAAAGATCGTGATACTGTTGTTTTTGATTGTGCCTGTGAAGTCCCTCAGTTATCAGATGTAGATCAAGATTTGACAGCTTGCCCAACCTACATTGATTTCTTTTAACATGGATTCATTCTGAAAACTATTTCACTGCAGTAATGGAACTATCATCAGTCCTTTGGAAAGTGCAGTTGGTGGGTTTTTAAATGCATTTTATAATGTTAAGACCAATATGAAATACATCAGTGCTTTATACTAGTGCTTTGGCACAGAACACTGAGTTACTCAGGTTCTGTATATCAAGGAGGGTATCACTGCAAACTAATACTAATGGTAAGAGAATGATCACTTCATAGATGTCAAGTGCTATAGTAAGGATGCTTTTTAAGGGGAGTGTAGGGTAGTTGCTGCTGTCTACATAGGAGAGGGCTGTTAGAGTTCATGTTCTGTGATAAATCAGTTAATAGAAGGAAAAGTTTGCTTTTTTTTCTATGCAGTAGTTTGTTGTTGGTCCATCATGCTCTTCTTTCTGCCTCTGCCTGAACCCAAACCCCCTCACAGCCTGACAGAAATGTTCGCTTACGCAGCTAGCCCTGCTTCAGTTTGTACTACATCCTTCTCCAGTGTTCGGCTGCGACATCAGAAGTCGATGTCCATGTCAGCCTCTGTGCACACGAAGATGATGTTGCCTCCAATAGACAATGGCGCAGATAACTTCAGGCCTATGTAAGAACCTGAAATCATTGTGAAACTAACTTATACCCACTGCTTCTTAACTTTGTGCTGTGGAATTTTAGTCCTAGATTGTTCTAGTATATATTGCCCACAAGATGTGTGTTTCCTCATTTTTTTAGTCTTGTTTACATTTGTCTTGTGGTGTGTCAGGCTGTCTGTGACATAATCCTGCAGTAATGAACCTTAATATTTTCCTAGTGTTAGCAGTATTGGACATTCCCTATTGTCAAAGTTTGTGGGAGACTTTAAATATATATCCTGAAGGACTTCACTAGTTGGAGCGGTTTGCTTGTAGAGAATTTTGTGTAGGATACTTTCAAATTAGCAAGATTTTCAAAGATTTATATATAGAATGTGCAGGGAGAGACACTAAAGTTACCTATTGCTTCTCTTTCCTGGGAGGAAACTTTACTCATCTATTCTTTTATCAGTCTTCTCAGTGAAACATTGTATGCCTAGTTTATCTGGTCTTTTCCAGGATACTCCTGTTGCGTTTTTCTGCCTATGTGGGTTTCTGTTTCAGCAGCCTTTTAATCCTAACTTCTTAGGAGTTTTGATTCCATACAGTGCTGTAATAATGTTGATATTTCCAACCCTGGCCTATATAAAAGTGTCTGCTTATGCTTTACTGTAGAATGTAGTGTTTTGTGTTTCCTGCAGAACCGTAGTGCTTCTGTAAAGAATTTCTAGCATTGTTTTTTGTTTTCTGCTCTAGCACTATTCCCGATCAAAGAACTCCTGTTGCTTCAACTCACAGCATTAGCAGTGCAACCACACCTGATCGTATTCGTTTCCCCAGAGGAACGGCTAGTCGGAGCACTTTCCATGGCCAGCTCAGAGAGCGACGTACTGCTACCTACAACGGACCGCCAGCCTCCCCCAGTCTGTCCCATGAAGCAACACCACTCTCACAGACTCGAACCAGGGGTTCCACTAACCTATTTAGTAAATTAACTTCAAAACTAACAAGAAGGTAAGCCTCTTAAAAAGGTAACGCAACATTTCCTTTTTATTGGGTTGTAGACGTACCTAGTAGTTCATTGCTTAGGTTGTTTTGGCCACATTCTCTGATTAATGGCTTAACTATTTCTGCAACTTAAAATGCACTGGTTTATGTTTTTTTCGTAGTTCTTTTTGGTTACAGAAGCCATTTGTTTTTTAGCAGTTGAATCAAGTGGGATAAAAAGTGAGACAGCTTGGTCTGTGCTGATTTTTCTGTGCTCGTCATCCTCATGTCTGAGATACAAATGCTGCAGAGCTGAAACATTTCAGCTCAGTTCACAAGCTGCTCACTCTGACTGCATGGTCTGTCACTAGACGGCATAAGCTAGGATCCCAGTCTTGATACTTGATGTAGCATTAGAAGCTCAGGTTGTGTTTCTCAGTCACTTAGGATATTACTATTTCCGGAATAACCTTGCTGGCAACACACAAATAGAAATATGACAGATGAAAGGGTAGGGGCAGGAGACAAAAGCTGCTTTTGGCAGTACTGCTAGCATAGGTCATATTACAATAGTGGCAGTACTGTGGTTTCAGTCTAGGCAAGAGTCTGGTTAAACCTTGAAAAACTTACTCCTATTTTGACCTTTAGTTCATGTGCAGATTCTGGTTTTGGTGTGAAGGTGTGTTGGTCTAGCCAAAGCCTAGCTTAAGCAGGTGTTGTTCCTGCACTAACAGGTTTTGTTTTTTTTTTTTTAATTGGACTTGTAGTTTCAAATCTATGTATGATTTAAATTAGTTTCTACAAACCCTACAGCTGAAAAACACCTATTTTCCTTCTTTATTTAAAACCTGTTGGTTCACACACCACATACTTCAGACCACTCTGATATCCAGAGCTTGTGTTTGCAGAAGTGAGGGTTTGTTTTTCTGTGCCTTAAGATAATCTCCATGCTTTTGTACCCTCCTCGTCATGGGAAATTTTTTGGAGTATATCATTCTGATCTTGGCCTGCTTGCTTTTGTTTTAGGTTTATATCTCATCAGCACTGAGCCGTTTCTTTCCTACCTGTTTGTGACTACACATGCCTCCCTCTAAGCATCCTGTTCATAGTTGCCTATTCCTGCAAAATAATGCTAAGCCAAACTCCATTTTTTCACAACTGGCTGATTTTGATTCAGTCAGTGAATTTCTTTAAAAATGTAGAAGTCATTTCTGTGAAAAACGAAAACGTGACAGCCTAGCCTTTGGTACATGTTTTACCCTGCTCAGCTCTCTGCCAGCTAACACTTCCCTGGAGGTGTTGGGTTTTTTTCCTCCTCCTTTTTCTGTTGAGAGAGAGAGAGATAAAAGACTAATTTGAATTTTTTTTTTTTTTTTAAGAATTAAGTCATCTGCTTTTTGTCAAGTGAAGTCTTAATCAAAGACATCCTTTTGGCACATCTTTCTGTACTTTTGTTTGTAATATCCTTACTTAATTTTCCATCTGATGTTCCAAATGTGGACCCTCAAACTGTGAACATGCAAGCTTTTCACTTGTGGTGCTTGGAACATACTATTTAGCATTGTGTGTCACTCAGTTGTTTAGGCAGCATTCAAACTTCTATCATTACCTCTAAGTTTCAACTTTTGCAGTGCAGTGTGGTTTTCTTGAAGTTTTTCCCTGCTACTTTTGGCAAGAGTTTAAATTCCGTCTGGACTTGATTAAATAACGTGCAGTTGTAACACAATAGTGCTGTTGCAGATGGTTGAGTTCGTATTTGGAGGTCCTCTTGCAGTTGGGGCTCTGTTATACTAGGTGCTGCACAACTACTAAGGAGGTGGATAGTGCCATCAAAGGACACAGTTATGTTACTTCTCTTTAAATAGATTTTAAAAAACTTAAAACCTGTTAATTTGTTCTAGAATTCTCTATTGGGGAATCAGAATCCTTTTGATTATGAACTACTTACGTTCTGGTGTAGGCAATTGTTACAGCTTCTGCCACTAAATTAACTAAATATTTAAGGCAGATATTGGCACAACATGGCTGGCCTAATGATATGAAGGAAGGAGGAAACCTAACTCTGAAGATACTCAAAATCTAATTATAGTAGAGTTACTGATTTTTGCTTTCTATTTGAAATCCATGAAGAAAATCCAAACATGTTTTTATGTGACCTTGCAGATTATGAGTTTTTAAGTGTTTTGACACCAGTATGTATTTTAATTGATAATAACTACTGGCGGCACATTTCCCAGAAAAATTGTTTGGAAGTAGCAATGCTAAGAGTTTGACTCTTCAGACCCTAAATCATCTGCCTAATCTCAGAATGTATTGAAGTGTGATTTCATTGTGCATTTTAAATGAGATCTTTTCGCATGTTTCACTCTAAATGGCTTTTTCAATTTATTTTGTACAAAACTTTTTGTTAATTATTATTTTGGCTTAATTTCTTTTAGAAACATGTCATTCAGGTTTATCAAAAGGTAGGATTTATTTATATTTAAAAAAAAAAAAGTGGCTCCTGCAATTAACAACAGATTTGGCTTTCTAGCCTTGGTTTTCTGAAAACTAAACTTTCTGCTGAGAACTAAATACTTTCTTTCTTGAGAGGAAAACATAGAATAAATCCATTAACTCGTGATGATACTTAAGAATCTGTGGCACCTGTATAACAAGATGCTAAGCATGCCTTGTGAATTCTTCTTTCTTTGATAGAGTTGGTAGTACCAAAGTAATTCTGTTCTCTGTACTAATACACTTAGCATGCTTATGTTTGAAGAATGAGGTGTTTGATAACAATGATGAAAATATAAACAAAACATAAGGTTGCAAGCAAATAAAGGTAAGTGATGCTAAATTTACATTCTCTATCTCTCTGCTTTATGGTATTTTATTAAAAAAATCAGTTTGAAGTGTTGTCTGCAGTTGATAGAAAGCAAACTGCATACAGTTGTGAATCTAACAGTTTTCTATGGAAGAGCAAATGAAGATGCAATAGCCATGTATTTATTTTAAAATGGGGTGCATTTGCTGAAGTGAATTGCAGCTGAAGTGCAAACAGAGCACTTCAGTTGTAAACAAAAAGTGTAACATCTATGCAAACTTAATAACAAAAGGGAAAAGCTGATTCACATTTCAAGCCCAAAGGATTGAGTTTAGTTTTACAATTTGGGAATGAATCAATCTGCTATATATCTTGTTAATCCATTATGACTCATGAAAGTTGGTTATACAGTTTTGATCCGCAGGTAAATTTTCCAGCAGGGTTTTGTAATACTTTTTTTTTGTTGTATTATATCTTGGAGCTTTTTAAAGGGTGGTACTTTCAATTTCCAGCTGCTGATCAAAACCAGGGAGACAGGGCCAAAAAACAGACATTGTTTTAACTTTCAAAATGCAAGGCTATGCATGTGACTGTAATTTGAAGTTTGTTAGACCATTTCAAGGATACACTTAGATCAGGGAGACCCAAGATATGTAAATTGCTGCTTAAATTTGGGTTTTTGTACAGTCCAAGTCTAAAGGTACCCTACCCGATCAAATTAGTAAATTCCATGCCACAGTAATAATAATCAGGGCTCTTCCAAACGTGACTGTTTAGTACTGGTGTTGGTTGGGTTGTCTGGCAGTGTCACAGCTGACTTGAGAAAGGGAACATGCACCAACTGTTAGTTAAGGAAAGAAACAATCCAGCACAGTATACAGAGGAAACTGAGCAGCGGCAGTAGTTTTAACCCACTGTGCATCGTGAGCTGTGGGGTGCTTACCACTTTGTAAGACAGAGCTTTTGTCTCCCTGTAGTCACATTCCTTGTAAAACAAAGGACGGTGATCTGTGCAACCTCCACAACTAGATGCATATAAGTTTCTTACTCTGCTGCTCTGAAGAAAGATGAAAAATGCTAATATGAGTACAGTTTTAAACTAGAAGGTTATTGTTAAAATTTGAGACTTAAAAAAGGTAATTTTTTAATCATTGCTAAAAATTTTCCTTTGACTTGAGGCCAGGAATCTCAGACTATTATGGAAGTAGCTGCTGCAGCTTCCATGAATATGTCTTTTGGATAAGAGATTTGCAAAGTCTTACACCACCTACACAGGACCAGACTGTGCTTTTTAAATTCTGTTTTAAGTGTGCATGGTGTCCCTCCATACCTGATCTGTATGTAGGTACAAAATTGAATTGAAGATGTTGGGGGTTTTGGCAACTTCTTGCCTTATATGCTATGAATCTTACCTAAACTCACTGTCTTTGATACTGAAAGAACTACTGTAACCCAGTAGCACATATATATATAGTACTGCAACATCATTCTAGGGAGCTGAACAACAGTAGATAGTCACTCCTTTTTAAACTACTGAGTTCTAATATTGTACTCAGTACACAGAGGTATAAAATAGATATCTCTCTTGTGCCATGCACTGTCCTTGCCAATCTGCATATTGTGGAAGACTCTTTTCTGACAGCAAAAATCACTTCCTGTGTTCTGGATTTTATTGCAGCATCTTTTCTCCATTTCCATAAATGGATCTTATTTTAGCGTCTTGCACTTTTTGCTGGTTTTCCGTATCTTTTTAGACAGTTTGCTTTGTGTTTATTTGGATTTTTAACACAGGGTGTGCAAAGATGTAAAGAACAGAAAACACAGCGTAACTCAGGACAGATGTATGAAAACATTCTTATTTGTGAAAGCCGTTCACAAACCATAAAGGAGGTAGCGTATAGGCAGGGCGTGACAAACGAGAACATAACTTCCCTATATATTTGTTCCATTCTCAAGACCGAGGAACGTCTTGGTTCACAAAATTCATTTATGTTAAAATACAAGCAAAAGCACAAAATTTAGAACATAAACTAGCAATTTGCGGTTCCCGCAGAAGTGAAGATTGTGTTAGCAGTGGAGGAAGCCTCAGGGCTGCATCTGACTTTGCAGACCCACCAAAGCAATACTGCCAGTACAGTAAGTGACACTTCCCAAAGCACCAGTGCTGCGCTGTAGAACTGGACCATAACCATGTCCTTCGTGAAGGAAGGAGCATCTAGACAGACTGGCACAGCTCTCCAAAGTTTGGCATGGTGGCTCATATTTGAGGGTGCATATCACCGAATGCAGTTCCTCATGCTAAATGAATGGAACACTGATGTGTGGAAAAACTGAACAAAGTAAGGATTTCCTGAGAGGCTTCCATGAAATAATTCTTTCAAAGTGGCAGGTATTTTGTAAGTAATGACACTTGCTAGATTTAGAGTACAGTGCTTTAGAAACTGAACAGTTTGGCTTCATTTCAACCTAAAGAGGGTCTAAGAACACCATTAGTAATTTTTCCTCCCCGACTTTTCTGGACAGATTCCAGTAACAGTAAGACTATTCATTGTTGGGGAGACTGGTTTATGCTCCCATTTTCTACAACCTTTGGCAAGTTTAAAAAAAAACAACCCAAATCCCGCCGCTCCCCCCCCCCCAACCAGCCCAACCTAACAACAGCAACCCACAAAAATCCAGAAATGCTTGCAGCTCGTAACAACGCTGTCATCTTCCACTTCATAGGAACACAGCAGGCTCTTAAATTCAAGCACTCTCAATCTTTCAGTTGAGCAGCATCTGCAAATTTGTTGCTTGCTTTGCCCAGTAAAATGAGTCAGTCTCAGATCACCTGAAAGGTGTGGATTTGTTCAGTTGGTACGTGATCCACAAAAATCCAGAAATGCTTGCAGCTCGTAACAACGCTGTCATCTTCCACTTCATAGGAACACAGCAGGCTCTTAAATTCAAGCACTCTCAATCTTTCAGTTGAGCAGCATCTGCAAATTTGTTGCTTGCTTTGCCCAGTAAAATGAGTCAGTCTCAGATCACCTGAAAGGTGTGGATTTGTTCAGTTGGTACGTGATGGTTTCTCACTTCCCATCTACCCCCTTCTCAGTCCTACAGGGCTGTTGTAAAGGATGAGTTTGTGGACTGTATATGCAGACCTTAAAAATCTTTTTCCACCTTCTCCTATATCCACCATAAATAAGTAGCACAAGATCTCATGAAAATAATTACCATTAAAAACCCACTTTGAAGCACGAGAATTAGTTGAGGATTGTCAGTTGTTTTCTTTTCATTATCTTCCTTACCCTTGTTGCTTGTGACAGCTGTTCATTAGTCAATGGCAAACATTTCCTAGCAGAGACCCTGTCGTACCATGTGCTGTGCAGTACCTCAGAGAGCAGGGTTCTGATCAGATGCTGTTGTGACAAGCAGCTCGTAGCTGAGTGACTTACCACTTTCTTAATTGGATTTCTATTGCAATAGCAGTGTGAATTTTGAACGAGATGCTGACTCCATAGCCTGTAGAAAAGTGCTGCCACCATGCTCCTTGGCGGTGCTAGTACAGCGCCTGTTCCCTTGTGACAGGGACTGCAGAGTCATCTTACAAGCCTGTTCCCTCACTGCAACCCTCAAAAGGAAGGAAAGGAGGAAATGAAGCCTTGTAACACCCCACAGACCCTGATACAAATAGCTCTGTGCATCAAAAAATAAGCTTACTGTCTTACATTCCTATCCCTAGACACCTGTCAACTAAACTGCTTTAATAATTTACATCATTCAGTGAAGCCATGTACTAGCTTAGAGTAGTCTTGATAAGAGCCTTATAAAGGCAGCTTCCCTGCAAGCAGAATTAATGCCGGGATGTTGAACCACAATAATGGGAAGGTAGAGGAGGATTATTTTTCCCCTTATTTCTGCTTGATACTGGGCTTTCAAAAAATGGTAGTGATCAGCAATGTAGCTTTAAGCAATGCAAGAAGACGGAAAGCTTAAGCTTACTTTTGGATGTGGAAGATGCGTCAGTGTGGGAATTAATAGCATGGAGTTAACCACGGCTTGCGAAATCTTGGATTTACCTCTAAACTTTTGTTAAAATATATATGCATCTTGTTCTTTTGCGCTGAGGTATTTGGTATTGTTTAAACACCTAATACTTCATATCTGATGTGCATGCAAACACGCAGGGTGACCAGACTTGTCTGTAAATAGGGTATTATTTCAAATAATATATTATATTCCCAGATAAAACTTTTAAATACATTAGCCTAAAAATAATTGGGAGTTATTTGTCTTTTAGGAGGTACTTACTAAATAATACAATAATTTCAATATGCTTTGTAACTTTAGTTTCACATTTTCTGCTTTTAGAAGTTGAACTTTATTCAGCGAGTTCTACAGTATTAATATATATATAAACATACATTGTGAAAATTAGTTACGGTCTTTTTAAAAACTAGTTTATAGACTTCGATTTGGTTTGACAGTGTGTTATATTCCAAATTTGGTCTAACCTATGAAGTTCTTTACATCTTTGTTGCTTTGTATTTTAACACACCTTTGGTATGATTGCAGTGTCTTTTAGCAGCTACTCAGATATTGTATATTGTAGTGTAAGATTTGTCTTCTCTTTCCCACTTCCTTTTGCTTCTGCATTCTTTTCAATGAGGCTCCCGACTGAATATGAGAGGAACGGGAGATTTGAGGGCTCAAGGTGAGGGTAAAATTTTTGTTTAAAATGTTACTTAGGTGAGTTTGAACCTTTTTTCCCTTGATTATGTGGCATAGTGGCTTCAGGCAGCAGCTTTTGTTTCGTGTAAGGCTTTGAAACTGAACAAAGAAGCATTTCTGTCTGCAAAACAGCTATTAAAGCACTGACTGACTTGGTTCTAAACTTTCATCTTTCCTGTTGCCTTTTCCCTTGTGTGATTTTTTTTTTTTTTTTTTGCATTTTAGTCGTTACAATTTGCTGTTGTCTTGTAGATGTGTAGGTAAGTGGTCTCTAGTGAGGCTGCGAACGTGTGGGATAACCACTCAAGGGTGATAAGATATTTCTCATCTCCAAAATCACGTATAGTTAAACAATATTTTTCATGTTACACTCTTCTCCCAAAATCTGCATATCAAAAAATACTAGAAATGATCAAACTTGTGCTGCTTCTGCCAACTGTTTTCAAGTTGAAAAAGCTTTCAAAGATAAAATGAGCATTGTATAAAAGTTGGTGTTCCCCCTACCCCCTTACAGCCTTATTAAATTAAAACCTTAAAGTTAAAACAAAGTACTCTTTAATTTGCTTGCTGAATTTTATAACATCTGGCAAATCATGTAGCTGGATTTGACAGCATAATCCTGCGACTCTCACAGTTACTGGAAGTCTTTCAAATAGAAAGTAAAATTATGAAATAGGTTATCTTTGAGAAATGTATTTATTTAGTTTTGACCTTGCTGTCACTTTTTACTTGAGTTTTTCATAATTGCCTGCTTAACAGTGGTAGAAGAAAAGCATTGCGTAACCAGAAATTCATTGCCAACTACTTTAAAGAGCAGCTTGACTTAATATTGTAAATTGAACTTTGAAGCTCAACGTGAGACCTAAACTGCGTGGTTTGGGGTCAGTTAGGTTAGGTATTTTCAGAAAATGTTTAAGCATGACAGTCAATATACTTAAGTCTCCTGACCTGAGGAGAAGTAAATTTGAAGAGGCTACTGACAGTGTGCAAATATTCATAAAGCAAATCTGTCATTTTTTTCCCTGGAGGCCCAAATGTAGTTCCTTATTCTTTAGCTGCGTGACCACTGATTTTAATTGAAGAATCATTGCAAACTAGAAATTTCTGGAACGTTTCTTTTCTTTGTCCTGTATAACTTTATTTATCCTAACCAAAGGAAAAGCTTTTTTTTTTTTTAAAAAAGTTGCAGACTTGGGAAATGCAGCCTCAATATTTTGTGCTTTATCTCTTAAAACTGTGACAGTAATAGTAGCCCTCTTATTTGCCATCTTTACTAACAACGTTGGAGGTGTCTAATAGCGACTTCCCACTCTCCTTCCTGCATTTCAGCCTCAACAGCACTTAGCTGCATAGCTTGTAGCAGCAAAAGATTTTGTCTCTTTACCTCTGTCAGTCGTTGGTATTAAACAAATTACTGACCAACTCAGAGACGAGCTATTTCCACCTTGTTGAAGGTAACCCAAATAAATAGCCTACCATGTGGTGGTTCTCTAGTGATCATCTCAAACACTTACCAGTGCAGGAAGGCCAGAGTGAAACCAGTCCAGAACTGGGTGGCACATGTTGGCCCTGGGGCAGTAGGTGGGTGACCCCTGGCCAATGTCCCCCGGTCCTGCTGTCCTTCCTGCAGCTAACTGCTGTGGGACTCCATGGGCCCTCCCAGTGCTTGGGCTCCAACCTGCTGCACAGGAGGAGGTGCAGAGGAACCCCCAGGACCTTTCTGCACGGGCTTAGCCCCGTTGCGTATGAGTGGGCATCTCCCATGGGCTGGCGCTCCCACAACCTGGGCTGAGCACCCTTTTGTCACAAGTCGCCGCTATTTGTATGTTCCAGAAACTTCTAGCACAGAGCTAGTGTTTCAGCTGTCCACATGGCCCGAGAATAGGGGTTTGAGCAGAACCTGCCTTAAAATCGAGTTGTAGGTGATGCATGTAGTTCTATCTCCGCAAGGTCATTTCCCTCATGCTCCTGACTCCAGTGACTTCCAGTTGTGTCACCCATCGTACCATACCTTCGTTTCAGCCCCAGCAGCTAATGCTTTACCTTGACTGTGTGTTTGTACAGCAGCTAGGAAAGCGGGGCACTGCTCGCAGCTGGAGCCTCTAGATGCTGCACTAATACCAATAGTGTGCATTTAGTTTGCTTCACTAACATAAAACGTGGAGGAGGTAGCTGGCCCTGCTAACTAATAAATTCCTGTCTTTCAGCCGCAATGTAGCTGTGGATCAGAAGGACGAGAACAAGGAAGCAAAGCCTCGGTCACTGCGTTTTACCTGGAGCATGAAAACCACCAGCTCCATGGATCCCAATGACATGATGAGGGAAATACGAAAGGTCCTGGATGCCAATAATTGTGACTATGAACAAAGAGAGCGTTTCTTGCTTTTCTGTGTCCATGGAGATGGGCATGCGGAAAACCTTGTCCAGTGGGAGATGGAGGTGTGTAAACTGCCAAGACTGTCCCTGAATGGAGTTCGCTTTAAGCGGATATCGGGAACATCCATAGCTTTTAAAAACATTGCTTCCAAAATTGCCAATGAGTTAAAGCTGTAACAAGAAAAATAGTTAAGTTGTAAATTAGTTAGCAATTTCAAGTGTTTTTGAGAATTCCAATGGAAATGTATAGAATAACATTTAGGCAATAACTTCTGCATCCTTCTGAATAGTGATATTAAAAAAAAAAAAAGCTGCTGAGCTGGGAGGGAGAGTTGGACTTTTTTATAAGTGCACTACAGCATTAAAGTTGCCTACTATGTAAAATATTACCCCTTCTGCTTTATTTCCATTGCTCCCAAGTCTTTGACAACAAATTGAAACACAGAATATATTCATTTAAATATGCCTCCTGTTTGTGTGGACGTGTGAATGTACAGTATGTGTGTATAATATATAAAGTATTATATGTAAACAATTCATTTACAACATCGAGCTGTACCAGTACCTCTCTTTGGGCTAATTTTGGTGCTAAAAATTGAAATGGCCAAGGAGGAAACACTTGAGTTAAATATTTAAAATAACTGAAGCGATAACCAGTAAATGCAGGTTTACAGTTCACTGCGGTGTTAAGAGAAAAAAAAAAAAAAGTGTGTGAAGGGTTTGGATTTACGGTTGTGAACATTATTAGTCCTGTTTTCTAAGTAGATTTCATGAGATTATTAAAAATTCACTTTTACTGAGTAAGTCTTGCATTATATTTTGCCCACCTATTTATTATTTAAGTCTGAATCAAATTTTTAAAATGTAGTTGATTTGTGCATTAAAATTTGGGTAGTCGCTTCCATTCTTCTGCTTCTGCTAAAGTACTAAAATTGTATCTTTGTCCTTTTGGCTTATGAGTGTTGATTGCAGCTAAGAACACTTTTCTGTTGTTCCACCGTGCCTCTACAGAATGAGGCAGTCTAAAAGGATGTGCTAAATGCTTACTAGTGACTTTTTCTTTCAGACCAAGTTCTCCACGTTAGACTAGGTCAGACTGATACAAAGCACAAAAAGACTCTCAAATAACGACCATATTTTGATGCAAGTTGGTGCCGTTCTGAGGTATTGCTGCACGTGTGTCAATAGCGTCCTCTGCGTTCTGGGTGCGCACAGTATTGAAACCCAAAAGTGGGAATCAGATTGGCTATGGATCTCCTCTGTTGTAATGTCCAACTTGCTAAACTACAGCCATAGGCAGTAGCAGTTAAAATTTTTCCTTGCAGCTCTCTTCCAGCGTGCTTCCAGTTGGCTCTGGTTGTATTGCTTTTGATGGCTTTATGCCAGTTGTGTCTCTGGCTTCTGCTGCAGAGGGAGTCCGCTGTTGCTTTTTTAACGTGCAGTGTGGAAACACGCCCTTGATGAACTCTCTGATGGCCAGCTAGCTTTCTGTAGGACGTGAAGCTACTCTGGGATGGTCCCTGCTTTTTAACCATCACTGTGGTGAGCCAGATCTGATTTTGCAAACTCGAATGAAGAGAGTTCCTCATGCATCGTTTCCTATTTGTTTCTTCAAGGACTTCTGTAGATAATACCCTGCATTATCTACTTGACTTTTTGTATTAATGTTTTATGGTTATATTTCAGTGAAGCACTTAAGCATGTACTTAACATGTGCTTTAAACTGGAGCCTAAATTTGCATTTTAAATTTGCAGTGAGCTAATAGTTATTCATAGTACACAGTTCAGATTCGACCCGAGGTGAAAATGCAAAATCCTCAATATTTTGCAAGTTACTTCATGTGATCTGTAGTCTGTGAAGGCAGCAGACTTCCCTCTCTTTCCCTAAGCATTGATATTGGTTATGCTAGTTTAAAGGGTAATCATAGTTGTTAAATGTAGTAAATATTCCTGAACTTGCATTTTATTCTCTGTATATTCTGTATCATGCCATGGCTCAAGAACTCCAGGTGCTACCGGAGTTCAGCTGGCTTTCAGTGCTCTGCCCATGCCTGTACTGCTCAGTATGATTTTTTTTTTTCCCCTGAAAACTCCATTTTGTGATAGCAATAAGACATTTCAGGGCAGTCATTGTACTTTCTCAGGTGAATGGTCACCTATCCTTTCACTTCCTATGTTTTAAGCACTCCTCCAAATGTATTTTTTTTCACCCGGCAGTGCACTTTGTTGTCTGAACTGAAAAAGTGTTCTGATAAATGATGTAAATCTGTATTCGATGGAAGTTCCAAAAGGTTTCATATTAAATGTTTTCTGAAATACTCTCTTCCTACTTCACCTGTTAAGTATGTAATTGTTTCTAGAAAGTGCACCAGTATCATACTTCGGATATTTAAAGTTTGTACTTAAGTATTTTTCTTAGTGTTCTCAAAAGGTTCTTTCAGAGTAAATCTGTTTTTGAGGTATTAAAAAAAAAGAATTATTATAATCGGAAACAGATTTTTAACAGCTTCCTTCCCAAATGCCTTGTAAAATTACCAAGTTGCAAGAATACACCCTTGTTTCTTTAGCATGCTGCATGCTTACTGTTCAAGCTTCTGGGAGTTGCCTGGACAGGAAAACTGCTTCCTTCAGATCTCCAAACCAAAGATGAACTTCCTGAACGCAGGCCTTTTACTTGTTCATATTCCTTGGGGATCTGTGTAGGTTTAACAGCACTGCTGGTGATTCAGCTCTGCAGAACTACAGCTAGTTATTCTCTCCTTAAGAGACAAGTTTTAAAAAATTATTGGAGGTCAGCATGTGGTGAGGAGGTAACAGCAGGCCTAGGCGTTTTGAGATGTGTGTCTAGCAACCGAGAAGTGGTTTTGTGTAACGGCATGACTGGTGTCCTGGAATGTGTGGTCCGAATGGCCTGTTGGGGGGTGTTGGTAATGGGCTTGTGACTAAAGGCTTGCATCACTAAAACACGTCACCCAGTTCTGAAGATGTTTCTTGGTTGCTGGATCTGGCAGAGAAAAATGTCATCAGAGTTTGAGTTGGGGGGGTTGACTGCTTTAAATGAAAGGTTTGAGAGATACGTATGTTAAAAAAAAAAAATCTGAATGCCAAGCAGGAACAGACAAGTTCGGATAAACTTTTTCTCATGCAAATCTTTTGTGTACTTGGGCTTTCTAAAACAAATCTGTTTTACCTCTTTAGAAGGTCTAAGGTCCTTGACCGCGTTGAGACATAGAGAGAGGTAGGTTAGAGGAGCAGCTAGTCCTGCTGGTCTAAGTGTTTTCCATACTACTTTTATTCAAGCTACAGCATCTGGTCCAATCTTTGTAGGTTCAAAGATTTTTTTAGTATAGATTTGGGCAAGGTTCACCTTTTTCTCTTGTACTACAGTGAAATTTCAAGATCAAATGTAGTGAGATACTGTATCCCAGATTTTTTTTTAATTGCAGCATTTTTTGTCACGGTAAATTAGATTATTTAAAAAAAAAAATGGAATTAGTATCCACATGTTTATGTTAAAGAAATGAAGTCAAGCGATTGAGGAGTCCTAGTCATATGGAAAGATTGCAGCAGATCTGGAATTTAAATAGAGATCTCTCCAATTCAGTTAAAAGCTCAGATGTACATGGCCTATTGGGATAATGTGTAGAGCCTTTTAATCAGTCTTTTCCACAGCTGCTGTGTCATACAGCGTGTTGTGGATTGCAATTTAATTAGGACTGCAGCCAACCCAGAGAACCATTTTCTCTGTTAAGGCCTGGTCTGGAACAGCAGTACATGCAGGGCCACTTCGAATTAAGCCCGCTTGGTTGTGCTGGTTTCGGTTCCTGTAGGGCTGGGCTACCTCGCTGGGTATGGGCAGAGGCTGCCTATCAACTGGTGTCCTCTGTATTTCAGGGGTGGGGGTGGCTGGGTGTTTCTTGCTGTGCAGTCTGTGATCAGCTATCCAAGACCATGTCTTGTCTTTGTAACCTGAAGAGTTAAATATTTAGAGAATCTCAGTAGTAGATGGTATTTCTGCCTTTTGGGGTGTCATACTGATGTAAAATTTTATTCTCTAAGTCACATTGCAGCTTACTTAGGAAATACTAAATACAGTTTTGCAAAGCTGGTCCCACTGTAGATTAATGTTTAATTTTAAGCCTGTAGATTTGCAGTTTCCAATATTTCCAGCTGTCAATACAATCTCATTTCTGGAAGTTTTCATAGAAAAGCCCTGGAGCTTTCCTGTAAAGATAGGCTCACGTTATTACAAATCACTGGTGCTGCCAATTAACCCCCCAATCTGACATTCTGATGAAGTGTGTGGTGAAAATTCCACCTTTGACAGAAATTTTTCCCACCAGTAGCAGTGAATTGTTTCATTGATTTCACCACTGACCATTATTCCGTCGCTTCAGAGAAGAAACTTATCCAGCAGGAAGGGGTGTAAGTTTTGGATAAAAACTCAACCTAATGCAATTAGTAAGAATTTTTTTAAAAGTCACACTTTTTCATACCAAAGACCCATCAGTGTCATGTGTTACAGTGGCAGTAAATGCTGAGAGAGTGTCCAAGAAACACAACACGGATGTAGTAACCATTTGTGTGTGTGTTCCTTACTTCTGACAAACTAAGAGTAGCAAAAAGCTAACCCTTAAACTTACTCAGATAGCTCGATGGCTTTCCTGTTTCTGCTGGTTTCTTTTTAATGTACTGCCAGGTACTGCCTCCGAGCAAAGGAGCTGGATAAAACGAGCAAACTGTGGAGAAGCAGTCTCTTCACCCCATGCTTCTGAAGTTGAAACAGTGCGCTATTTGAAGCAAAAGAATTTGAAAGACCCTTAACAGGTCCTTTTTAGCTTTCTAAGAATGTTTTAACCTTTGGTACAAATGGTGGGCTCTCATTCCAGCAATAACTGAAAACAGAAGCTGTGTCAGTACTGAGGCTATGAATCCTGTAAGTATCTGTGCACAGAAGCTGCGTTTGGGGCATGAATTGCCAGTTGTTGGGAGTTCATCCTCACCTGCAAGTGCCATTAACACCTTGTAGTGGTTGTGACTTGGCAGGTAAGATACTTATTGCAGGAAAAAATGTTTTTGCTTGTTTTTTTGCTCATGTGCATTGAGCGCTTGGAACTGTGTTCTGAGACTCGGCTGTAAAATTAATGCAGAGTGGCCATGGTTATGGTTGCTGTGGGAACCACAGCATTGAATTTCAAGGCATAGAAATGTTGCAGTTCTCAGTCATCCCATTAATACCCTTATGTTATCGTTTAATAATACCCTTATGAAATTCAGGGCATGAAAACAAAATACTTGTACAGTTTGTGTTTTCTTGTAGTTGCTGATCACACTGAAGGTATTAGGTGAATAAAAATCATGCTGAAATATCTCACCATGAAAATAATTCTGTTAAAGCATGTGGGGATGCAAAATCGGAAAATGCTGCTGGTGTTACAATCTCATGGTTTTCAACCATTTGCCTACCTCGAGGTAAAGTCCTGTTTGCTTGGAGGTGTCTCTTACCAAGACCTCGGCTCCAGTTTACCCAGCCAAAAGGCATGAAGTGCAGTGCTTTCGCACATTTCCACATAGATGGAAAAAATACCAGCCTGATAGGAGCTCGGAGATGGCTGAAAGCATGTGTTTAATTGTCCTGGGTCTGCGGTGCCCAAAGGAGCAGGGGTAGGGGCTGGCGGTGGGGGTGCCTGGCAGGGTCGGGGGAGGCAGGCAGGGAGGGATGGGTGATGGTCGGTCCCTCCTGCAAGGAAAGGCGAGCTGCAGAGGGACGTTGCAGTGTCTGCAGTGGCCACAGGATGTCTCTC